GAACCCCATGTCATAGCGCAAAGAAAGTACTTCAGGTGGACGATCATTCCACATCTTCTTTCATTTTATTATTTAATTGTTTAATTTTATTTCATAAGATTCTCCTAAAAAGTATTTATAATATTAATAGTATCCACATTTATAATTAGTAGTACTTTTTACCTGAAATACAGGAATTTCCTAGTTCAGGTACATGTGTTATTTTTACATTAAATCGCATAAGTAGTCTTTAGTTTTCTCTGTACATTATGTTACTGAATAAACAATTTTATTTTATTTATTTATTTTTATCTTGCAGGTTCGTGGAAGAAATGAATGCAATGCCTACGTGGTCTTACAATGCCAGGCATCTAAGATGTGGGAATGGCCTCTACTCCTTTGGTTGGAGGTGCGATGGTAGAAACGAGACGGTGGCAACAGTTCGAAAAGTTTTTTAGAACACTCACCATTATAAAGACGGTAGAACACACATAGAGAGCCGTTGTTGTGAGGCGATAGGTTTGTTTGAACCATTAGGTATGGTTTGAACCATTGGGCTACAACGGCCTTATTAAAGCATAAAAATGTATGTAGACTAATTTGGTTCGTAGAGGAAACCTCTCTCCTCAACAGTAGAGATTTTACGGATGTGACCATACACCAAGGGTGCAAAATAGAAATTCTAGTAAATGAAGATATGAAAAATACAACGAACTAGACGGATTTTTCTAGCAAGAGTACGCAATACTACGCAATAAAAATGTACTTCAGAGTCCTTCGTAGCCGAGTCATTGATCCATTTTGCTTAGTTGTATGGTATAATATAACCACATGTGATATTACGTCAAAAGTGCTTTTATCACATGAAAGCCATAAAAATACACGGACTACAAGAAACAAATAATGTTTATGTGAAATTTTTTAATTATAACATTTAAGCATAAAAAGTTATAGACTAATTTCGTTCGTAGAATTTTTAAACCGCTCTCCTGAAATTAGTTTCACCTAGTATTTTTCAAGGACTTCAATTTAAAAATTAATAAATAAATAATCATAATGCAATGTCGTGTCAAATCACTTTTCGTTATCGAGTAGCTCGATGATTGTCGGCCCACATAGAGAGTCATAATTTCTTAATCGATGCAAGCGTATCGATTGAATGAGATTATTCTGTTTGTTACGAGGTCGTGGCCGACACGACTCAAACCTCTACTACACTTGACAGACAATACGAATTGATGCAAACCCTTGAGCACAGGTTACAAAATAAGGGTGAGGTCAGACAAGCGTAATCTTTTGAATTGTGAGTCGCTGAATTCACTGCGTTTGGCTTCATATTAAAATCCGGTTTATGCCACACGATGACGTAAAATTAGTTAGTTGTCTATCCGCTCACGCACGCAATTACCACCGAACTTCAGTCGCCCTGTGTGATGTGCTATGCTGGTGGAGAGAGGAGGAGGAGACAGCCAGCGGCGACTAACTGCTTAGTGGAAAATGTGTGTAAGCGGATAGTCCCTGTTTCCACTAAACGGCTAGTTGCTAAATGAGTGTAAGCGGATGACTGTACGGTATCCGGATAATAGGGACTCGTGTTTCCACCACATATAAGATAAAGTATTTAGAATGCTAAACGAGAAAAGAACGATCCTGAATACTATGGAGTATAGACGCGGGAAAATAACTGGACATTTGATACGACACGACAACTTCTGTAAGACCATTTTGGAGGGAAAGATCGAGGGGAAGAGACTTCCGAAAAAAGTTTTTATTTAACCTTAAAATTACATATTTATCAAACTGCCCTCGTAAATATACCCGATACAGATGCAAAAAATAGTTTAAGTTCCAATTCATGTAAATTTTCATGATAATTATTTACCTATAATTGGAGTGGAATATGGTTTTAGTGAAATATTATTCCAGAGGTTTACCCTTTTTTTTTTTTTACCCTGTCAAACCAAAATACAATGTAATATCAAAAACTGCATTTTGCAAAAAGCTTCGAAAATAATTATTCGGTTTTTGTAATTTCGAATTAATGACGTAACGCACTTGAATCCAAATACTGTCGTAACGTATTGACAAAACACAATTTGAAAATTAAAAAAAATACTGATTGGAGCTTATTGCGCATAATGTGATTATTTTTATTTATGCATAATATTTAATTATTCATTTATAAACGTGAATATATTTTATATTGGTTTTATTCAGTTTTTTTTTTCAAATCATGTTCTACGAGATCCACAATTTTGCGTAACGCGAGTAATTGGTGTCATTGTTTATAAGATATTAAAAACTTCTTTCCAGCCATTACAACTGTTGAAAAGTTGCATTGATAGTCTCAATTACAAATAGCAGAAAAAGGTATTGTATATAA